CAAGAAATGGTCTTTCAATAGTTTTGTGTCTACAACAAGCGTACCTCTCACCATGTTGATGTGTTCAGTTCAAATTCACACAGTAAACTGGTCACATATCACTTTTGTTCGCCTATTTTATGGTAAAAAGTCTTTTATCCGTACTAACATCCATAATTTCGTCACAATGACAATGTTGGCAACAGGCGATTACATGCGTGAAATTTCCTTCGGACAGTCGAAAATCACAGATCGTACAGTGACACCTCTTACAATTTGGATAAAAATCTGTCCATGTGCATATGGGACATGTGGCCAAATGGGAGATGTCTAAATCTTTGTTACAACCGTTACAAACTGTGTCCATGTTTTCAGACTCATCCTCGGATTTGTCAGACTGTATATCCTGGTAGGACCACTTGTGGGCTAGCATTGTAAGGACACGCCCATTTACGATTAGGCTTTTATCAATATCCAATTTTGCAAGACCTTTGAGAAATATATTCAGTCCAGCTGGTTCCGGAATTTCAGTATTATATGGTAAAACAGTATATTGCAAAAGATCTACAATATTTGTTCCACGTATATTCTGTCCTTTGTATACAATTATCCCTTGAAGATTTCATGTGAGAATATCCGTGGATGTGAGAATGGAGTGAACAAGTTCTTCCGCAATGTGTTTATCAACATTATCGTTTAAGTGTCCAAGTATATCTTCAACACGCCAATGTCTCGGAGATGATCTTTCCTTGCTGTCCATGGTTGGAATGACAATGTGCATTAATGATGGTTATTTTATACTAATTCTGCAAGGCCCTCTAAAAGTGGCGCAAGTACCAATCCTAGAAAACCATTCCCGCGCTGAACAAGAATTTTCCTTTTCTTTATAAAACTCTTACTTCTGTCCGCTAAATCAGCGAGATCGTCTTTAAATGGTCCAAGTTTGTTCAATGTTTCTTTAGGATATGTAAAGTTTTCCAAGCAATTACATAGAAAGCGAATCTGTTCATGAGATGCAGAATTCAACAGAGCTTGCTGTTGAATTGGATGAGAAGTACACAAGAGCTACACAAACGGTCTGTGTTTGATATAATTGCTGGTCATCTCTGTTCGGCGGTCAGCAACGGAATGAAGATTTAGTTGAGAATGACGCATATATAAGGGTTGGCTCGCCCTCTACAGACTAAGTCTAGACTATAGTCTTAATCGTTTTTTACTATAGTCTTCGTAGTCAGGACTATAGTCTTTATAGTCTTTACTATAGTCTTTATAGTCTTTACTATAGTCTTTATAGGCTTTACTATAGTCTTTCATAGTCTTTAATGTAGTCTTCATAGTCAGGACTATAGTCTTTCATAGTCAGTACTATAGTATTTATAGGCTTTACTATAGTCTTTATAGGCTTTACTATAGTCTTTATAGTCTTTATAGTCTTTACTATAGTCTTCATAGTCAGGACTATAGTCTTTCATAGTTAGGACTATATTCTTTTATAGCTATGACTATAGTCTTTCATAGTCATGACTATAGTCTTCATAGTCATGACTAAAGTCTTTCATAGTCTTTACTACAGTCTTTATAGTCTTTACTATAGTCTTTATAGTCTTTACTATAGTCTTTATATAGTCTTCATAGCCAGGACTATAGTCTTTCATAGTCTTTAATGTAGTCTTCATAGTCAGGACTATATAATCTTTGATAGTCTTTACTATAGTCTTCATAGTCAGGACTATAGTCTTTATAGTCATGACTATAGTCTTCATAATCAAGATTATAGTCTTTCATAGTCTTTACTGTAGTCTTAATGACTATAGAAAACGGGATAAATATACCTCTTCACCCTCGCTTTAATTCATTTCACTTTGACTCTTGCGAAGTAAACATGTCTTATGAATGCGACATCTGTGGTAAAACATTTGCAAATGCGAGTAATCTCCTTCGCCACAAGAAGGTTGTTCATGCATATGGAACTCGTAATCTTGGGCAACAAACTCTTACGGTGAATGGAGTTACAGTTTTGGAACACCCATTTACTTGCATTGTAGCTGGGTGTACACAAAGTGGAAAAACTGTATGGGTAAAATCTCTAGCTCTTGGAGAATGCTCAGAAAACTATAAGTCCTGCTCCTCAACGTATTATCTGGTGTTATGGTCAATGGCAACCATCCTATTTTGATATGATGAGAACGATGTCTGGAATCGAGTTCAATAAAGGCATCCCTGAAAACATCGACAACGCAGATTACTTGGACGTATCGCAACGGAACTTGATCGTATTGGATGATCTCATGGCACAATCTGGCAAAGACAAACGTATTTCTGATCTTTTTACGAAAGGAAGCCATCACCGTAATTTGTCCATCATCTATATTGTCCAAAATATATTTCATCAGGGCAAAGAAATGAGAAATATCAGCCTTAATGCTCATTATATCGTGTTGTTCAAGTCACCAAGAGATAAACAGCAAATTTCTATACCTGCAAGGCAAATAAATCCGGGAAAAGTACAAGAATTTATGAGGATGCTACGAGCCGACCTCACGGGTATTTGATGTTGGATTTAAAGCCAACAACAGATGATCAACAACGGCTCAAGACGAATATACTTCCCAGTGAGATTGAAAAGTTTATACAAAAACAATCGTATCGTCAACCACCGCTTCTAAATGCCATGTATGATGCCGAGCAGCGAATGAAAAAAATCATGGATGCACCACAACTTAGCGCTGTGGAAAAAAGCAAATTATATTCTGATCAACTAAACCGATTTCTCACATTCAAAAATAAGATGGGTGTCCCGGCTCAAGCCCCTGTTCAAACATCACCGTTAATGCCTGCAGCGATACCACCACAAGTGCCACCCACGCCTGTACCAGCGGAAATACCACCACCAGTGCCTGCTACTCCTAAACCTAATTTCCTTACACCACCACCAACAGAAGAGGAACGACCAAGACTGAAGCGCAACTTTTTCTACAATTGGGTAGACTCTGCTGATTGGAAAGAAAGTGACTTGGCTATGATGAAGCCGAAGGAAAGAGAGGATTATGAACGTTTTATATTGAGCGACCGCCCAAAATATATTCCAATGAAGCATGAAGATGTTGCAAGATTATCACCCGAGGATAGACAAGAATATGAGAACTCTTTAAAAATAACCAAAACACCTAGACGTTACGCTCTTAGAAGTAGACCGTACTAAATTTTGTAAAACGTCTTAAAGAAATAAATGCAATTTTAAAACTGAAATCTTGTGTAAGCTTTTACCTGCAGAGCCCGCTCTTCCGCCCGCGCAACCCGCCTGCCTGATAAGTGTACAAATATGTTGTACGTTAATATATGCATGCACCCAAGCGTCGCTAATGACTTAGCAACACATAACAACGTATATAACGAATACATGTTTTCATCGCAAAGTATATTACAGCTGTTCTAAAAGGTTTTTCCCCACAGAATCAAAATCTACCATTTTTCGTCGAAGAGGTAGTAACTTTACCGTGTAGACATGAACTAAACGTTTTCAACTAAAGACTATGCTTCGAACTGACCGGCTCCGCGAACCAGGCTCCGAGCTATTTAGACTAGGCTCTAAGCTTTTGGCTTTCAAAGGTTGATTATTCCGAATTAGGCTCCGAGCTACATATACATTTTCCCGACCGCCAAAAAGAGTTTTTAAATCTTGCGAGTTGGGCTTGAACCAACGACCTAAGGAACTACAGTCCTGCGCTCTACCAACTGAGCTATCGCAAGAGCATGTTTTAGTCATGCGAAAAACAATCAAAATACATGTGTATCTAGGCGCGCTATCCCTAACATCTGGCTCAGGTTTGTCCGAATGTTGCCTGCTCTTGTTCTGTGGCGTAATTACACTAAGGTTGAAGGCTGTCGAAGGAGTCACCTTGCCCGGGTTAATTGGTCGCGCTACCTGTCACAGTAGGCCTGCCCGCGTTAATTGGTTGCGCTACCTGTCACAGTTGGCCCAGGGCTGCCCGCGTTAATTGGTCGCGCTACCTGTCACAGTTGGCCCAAGATTAGGGTTAGGGCCAGCAAAGTTACGTCACATATTTTGCATACTAATTAATTTCGACATCTAAGTTTGCATACTAATTACTTCCGCCGCCAGAGGGGGGGGGGTTACTACTGACATCCTCAATTCTCATTTCACGGAGCATTTTTATTTACAATCACGCCTCACGGCTGTAGAACACATCACATTACACGACACTAAAATTAAGCATTTCACGTGAACAAATATTGACCATTCACGGCTCACGAAAATACCCTTTACCACCCTCATGTTAGTATATCAGAATCGCACTTCCTGATTAATTTGTTCTCTTTAGTAAAATCGGAGTAAAGATATCAGTACATACAGTTCTTTACTTCTTTTTAAACAGAAACAACTGCGAAACAGAATAGACTTATTATCGTTCTGAAAACGCAGGTATGACTTTATGTACTGATTTATGTACTGACTACATTCTGCAATATAAATCTGTCGAGTGTTCACTGTGACCTTCGACTGGTTTCTCCTGCGTTCCGACCAGCCTTGCAATCGCTTTAAGCGTGGGAAATCACCCCTATAAAAGAGAATCTGCTGTGTCAGAGTTCCCCCTTTCACTGAATAACAAACACGTACAAAGTTCAAGACAATTAGATATTGTCTCACAATACGAGGTCAGCTTTGAGACCGTAGGTGTGGTGGTAAGTCCTTGAATGTTATCATCTGCATTCGCATCATTGTCGTTGTTGTTTTTAATTCTTGAGCCTGGCCAACATTGCGAAAAATTGCATGTCTGCCCACTTGTCTGGAAGCTCTCAGCAAGTCGATAGGTGAAAGAAGCTAAGCTTGCTGCATGCCGTTTCCTTAATTGAAACCACGTCTGTTCCGCTTGTTTCTTTATTTTGCCAGGTCTTCATTCTTCAACAGTTTTTGATATTACTATCGGCCAAAGGACTACGCATCAAAACAGGCCCAGCCTGTAACAATGTTGATGAAAACAAGCTATATAAGCTTGAACATGCAATATTTTGCTGCCCATATTGTTCCTGGTTGTTAACGATATTGACATGTTCAGCATTGTTCAGCCTGCATGAAGAATGCTGATTCAGAACAATATTGTTAACATCCAGGAACAATATGGGCAGCAAAATATTGTTCCGGCCTGTTTTCAACAACATTGTTACAGGCTGGTCGTTTTTCGCAGTGTGGGTCACCGTTGATTTGTGTCGCCCAGCTTCAAAATTTTAAGATTCCTGCCTTTATGAAACAACAATTAATTGTGGATTTGGGAGTATCATTCCATGCCATAGCAGACCATCTTATAGCTTGTAAAATATCTACCGCCGAGAGTTACATACTTCGGTTGCAGAGCTGCACTCATACACCTTGCTGATCACATGTGCGAAAAGTCTCCTGCAATACTTGAGTATAAATACCGGCACAATCCCGAGATCGAGTGGCTGCAAATTAATGAGATGTATTGTGGCATTCAGTTTTGGACAAAAACAAAATTCTTATCTGCGAGAACTTGTCGCCAAGATCTTCAGGAAGACATGGTTCATTGTCTATGAACAAAAGAATGTTGCTATTCTCTCTTCTTATAACTATCGGGTATTCAGGTTTCTTAAAATGTCTTCAAGGATCCCACTTTCCATCCAGGCTTTGCGCATCCAGGTTTTGGCATGGAGTACACCCAATCCAGTACCTTTGCTGTATGCGCTGACGTTTCACGTAGCGTCTACTCGATCTGAATTTGAACTAGTACGGTCGGGGAGGGGGCGCCACAGGGGTGTGTGGCAAATGGTTTTCTTGCAGTCGGCATAGCATGAATTCGATATGAAGGAATGCATGAAAATAAAATATTTGTATAAAACTTTTATAAAGTGAAATTTCTACCTCAATAAAGAAAGAATAAGGAAAACTATAAAAGAGGATCGGTACGTGCATTCGAAATATCGGTAAAACTGAACTATATTTATGATAACAATATGAAATTGGTCGAAGACCCGTACTCAGGAAATAAAATAACAACATAAAACGCTCACTGAGTTTCCAGCGATATACATACCCTTTTCTAGATATATACCTAATAATAATAAACGAACGAACGAATGTATTCCTTCCACTCGTGAGCTCATTTACCATTGTCACACATAGT